AGACTTTGGTAAATTCTTGTATTAGAGAGAAAAGGAGCAAAATTCAATTCTTCAGATGTAAAGAGTTCGACCCAATATTTTAGGTTCATCTATCCAAAAAATGATCGTAATTCAATGATTAAAGTATTATGCGTAACATTTATTTGGTTTACTCTATAACTTGGTCTCCTCAGTTCTGTCTAATCAATAGGAAAACAAATATAAATAATATGAATGATTTGAAAAAACCCTTATATGAAAGATTTAGTACATTTGATGGTCCTGAATATTTATCAGTATCTGATTCTATTAGTTCTCCATAGTTGAGCTCTGATTTAGAATAGTTATGTGTGAATATTGTTAGTATCCTTAAATTAATTATGATATTAGTCACTAGTATGCTATGAATTCACCAGACTACCAGAAGATTTATAAAAAATAAAATTAAAAAATGACAAAAAAAGTGAATTACTCAAAATAAACTAAAACATTAAAACTAGATCAAAATAATTTATTCATAAAGGTAATTATTTCGTTATTGTTTAATAGATTATTAATTATCTAACTATTTTGAATAATAATCAAATTAATAAATCTCTGGTACACAAGCTAACCAGAAATATTGGTTGAGAAATATCAACCTGTAAATAATTAAAAAACTTATGATTGAGTTCATGTTGAAAATTTAAGAATTATGTCGATATTTAGATGAAGAATAAGAAGATTGCAAAATTGAATTTTAATACTGTTCCTGCCTCAATTTTGAAAGTATGGGAGTTATCTGAAGACAAATACAAATAATTAAAATTTAACCCTAGTTGGAGACAGCTAAAAACTTATGTTTGTTTGAATTTTTACCTCAAATATACAGAATGTTGTAATCTTACTCAATATGAAAGAAAAGTGTATAAATATTCAATCTAATTTAAATTAGTAAGACAGCAGCTCAGAATCTAAAGAAAAGAGTAGAAGATCAATAGGCCAATTTATTCTTTTGTAAAATACCTGACTTGAAATTAATAAAAGTAGTTTTACTTAGAAATAGTCATTCATCATTGCCTCCCTTT